TTGTTTATTTATTTACTTAATTTTTATTATTTCAGTATATCTTATGTCATAATTTTATTTAAATATCTTAAGTCTACATTGTTGTGTTTGCCTGATTGTGCTCTATATGGACAAGAGTCACTTGAGTATTGTATTGATATTATGGTTTATATTTAATTGATTGATTGACTGATAGATTACATGCCACCAAATTGGTGTTAACTGTTAGTGACCACATAGACAGATTCTTTCCTGGAGGATCTGTTCTCAGCCTAGTTATTCAGGTTTTGTTCAAAGTAGGATTAATTTTATAATACATGGATAGATTTAACCAAGATCAAGCTAAATCCCAAAACATTAGAGAATAGACAATACCTAAAAGTTTGGCACTTAGACAAACCAGCCATCAATAAGCACATAGATTTAAACACATCATTTACACATCATTCAAAAGAGACAATAAAAAAACGAAGGAGACAAGACATGTTGCCAACAATCAGCATTCAGATAAGAAGAGATTAATGTCAGACAACCAATCAAGGAATAAACAGTATGCTAGTGAAGGAACCATAACTAAGACAATCATGCGGAAAACAACAGACCAATTAAGAAACTACCACATAGAAGACCACACCCCCACTGATAGGGCAAGCCACTCTATATAAAAAGAGTGTAACCCCCCAAGTAGGATCCCTGAAGATGTTATCTAGTTAGGTAATGAAATGTCTGTAGGAAAACAGTCAAGCTGGGAGAAAACCAAGGAATTCAGAGAATAAGGTTACTTGAGCCTGGTCATTTGTGCTTCAGGTGGGGTGATTTGTTCAATTATCCATTTGTTCATTTTCTTGGTTAACTGTAATATATATTTAATTATAATTAAATTTTCTGGAGTTTTATTTTCTAATACCAACATTCAGAACTGTCAATTCTCTTTATATCCAGGTTCTCTGAAGTCCAAGAATTGCTTTCCATAGATTGTCACTGGGGAAACCAAGTGTGTGTTTACATTTGTTTTAACTTTTACTTATATCTCCTTTATTTTTGCATTTTGTAATTTTTTTTTCCTTCCATTCAATCACGTCTGATTCTTGGAGACTGAGTTAAGTCCCTGCAGTTTTCTTGGTGAGGTTTCAGAATGGTTTGCCATCACCTCCTTCCTAAGGCTGAGAGAAAGAAATTAACTGCCTGGCTGCCTAAGATGGAACTAGAATCCACATCTTCTGGTTTCTTGTCTAATGCCTTAACCATTATACCACACTGGTTCTCTGGTGAATAATTACAGCCTATAAATATTGCTAAGGTTTACTAGCTGTTGGGTGATTGAAATTTAAGCACTATGAATATTGTGTCTTCTGGAAGGCAAAGAGGTGGTCTAATCTAGGGGTCTGCAACCTTGACAACTTTAAAGACTTGTGGACTTCAGTTCCCAGAATTCCTCAGCCAGCATAGCTGGCTGAGAAATTCTGGGAGCTGAAGTCCACAAGTCTTAAAGTTGTCAAAGTTGCAGACCCCTGGTCTAATCTTTTCATTAAAACAATAATGGAGTTTTTAGGACCTGATGCTGGTAATTAAGTGCCATGTGTTCAAATTGTGTTTCAGTAAAGTAATTTCTCTGACATGCTCAATCCTCCATTGCTCAATCCTCTGACAAACTCTGCACAGAGCTTATGCATGAAATTCAAGCACGTACATGAATAATGGTTTACATTTTCCTGCTATTTACATTACATCATACCCTGCAAGTTGTTAACCTCTCTACTGATAATTCTTTGCAAATACTTGCAATATCTTACATGTCCTGCAATTGCACTCATACACTATGACTATGCTAAGAACGTCTGTATACTAATTTGTTTGGTAAGGTATAGGGTATTGTATGAACCCAAACTTTGTGAATTATAAACCACAGTTTATGGCTTAGTATATTAATCCAGATAATTGTGGTTTGTTCAATAAAATACAGCTCAACTATGGTTTAGTGTTATATGCAAAGGTGTGATTCTTGTCTTCCTAATATTGGAAATGAGTACAGGTCATCCTTAACTTACAACAGTTCATTTAGTGACCATTCAAAGTTACAATGGCACTGAAATAAGTGACTTATGAGTGTTTTTCACACTTACGACTGTTGTGACATCCCCATGGTCACATGATCAAAATTCAGACAGTTGCCAGCTGACTCACATTTATGACGGTTTCAGTGTCCTGGAATCACGCGATCACCTTTTGCGACCTTCTCACAAGCAAAGTCAATAGAGAAGCCAGATTCACTTAACAACTATGTTACTAACTTAACAACTGCGGTGATTCACTTAACAAGTGTGGCAACAAAGGTCATAAAATAAGTCAAAATTCACTTAACAAATGTTTTGCTTAGCAACAGAAATTTTTGGCTCAATTGTGGTTGTAAGTCAAAGATTACCTGTATTATAAAATGGGATAACTATTTAAGTATCCTTTTTCCAGAGAGATCATGTGCATTTTCTAGTAGTTCATTGGTCAACTATTTGTCAGGCTGGCAAAGAGAGGACAGAAAAATGGCAGCAAGGAATAACCTTCATACTTTTTTTTTTATGTGAGATCTTTGGCAAAGAGGCTGGCATGAATGTGTGGCTGTAAAAGTTGCAATAAGTAAGTAAATCTGGGGTGGCAGAATTAGCATGCAAAACAGGAAGTATGTTTTCTAGGTACATTTCCTAGGGAAGTTACAAACATACCTAATTCATATATCCCATTAAACAATAGTTTGATTAACCAAAATTTGAGGAATAAACCAGAATTGACTGGGTTCACATACCACACCAAACTATTATGTGTATATTTAACAACAGTTTAAACTCAACATAAACGACAGAGATGCTGACATTCAAATTAGATTCCACAAAGTGCTAACATGGATTTAAATTATTGTCTAGAATTGTTCAATAAACAATGTAGTATATCATATTGATCCAACTGTTTCTTGGAATTGTAACCATCTTTAAACTTCACAGAACCAAACTCCACTTTTGCTGAATTTGCACATCTCATTAAAGAGATGTCAAACTCCAACAACACTCTAAGTATGTTGATTTTCCATTCCTAGCTAAAGAAGCACCAAGTTGGGAAATGGTACAATAAATCATAATGTGAGTTGTCTCTTGTTGTATTTTGTGATTATTTTTTTAAAAATCCACAATTTAAGCAAACAGGACTTTGTACAATCTATGGCATCACTGTTATTTTAAAAATACATCTCTTTTTCCCCCTTGTTATTCCAGACTGGGGGATGGTGAGCAAGAAAACTTAACTAGTTTATTCAAAACTATGTTCCCAATCCAGATCAGGTCTCTACTGCCTGATTTTTTTTTATTTGCTTTTGCTATTTTTATTTGCTTTCCACTGTTTTCCCCCCAAGAGTTCATTCTGGGCCATCAGTGTACAAGCTGGTGTCCTTGGTGTCCCAACAGAACTAAGTGACTGCTCTTTGTGTGACCTGTGTTTATTGGTTCCTTCTACAAAGTTTCACTTCTTGGTGGGAAATCAAAAGGTTAACTTACAAAGACAGAGACTTTATCCTTATACTGATATAAAGCCAGGAATTTCCCTGCCATAATTCTTCAAAAATCCCCAGAAGAAGCTGAGATTGAACAGCTGACAACTCCAGAAAGCACTCAGTGAGAAAATGAAAACAGGGAGCTGACTTAGGTTGTGTATGTCCCGGTCACAAAAATGTTCAGCATTCAATTGATCGGTTTTAGGTTCATACAGTGAAATAACTCTCCCAACTAACCTCATTATGCTTTAGACCAGTGTATCAACCCCAGCCTGAGAAGCCTGAATGCCACAGTGGCTTGCTTTCTTGTGTATCAATTGCTCAGTGCTGTTTCTGAATTGCATAACACAACGTTCCTTAATGCCAATCTCTCTTCACAACCACAGCACTACTGCACAGCTTCTATGAATACAGTCCTTGCAGTATTTTTAATATAACTCAGGCTGGGGTTACACACTGCACTATACTGTGGTTTTCCTGTTTCTGTTTAACACCAGAGAAGGAAGCCTGTCCTATTATTCCAGATGGGAAAGGAGAAAGCATTTTGCATATGCCGAAAGTTAAACTCATTTTTAAATGTTCAGGGTATTCAAACAATATACCAAATCATAACATGGTTAGATACGCATTACAGTTAAGATAAATACAGGTAATCCCTTACTTATGATCACAACTGAACCCAAAATTTCCATTGCTAAGCAAGTACTTAAGTGAGTTTTCCCCTAGTTTATCACCTTTTTATCATAGTTGTTAAGGGAATCACTGCAGTTATTAAATTAGTAACACAGTTATTAAGTGGATCAGGCTTCCCCATTGACTTCACTTGTCAAAAAGACATAAAAGTTTATCACATGATCCTAGGATCCCGGGCTGCAATTGTCATCGTAAATACATGTCAGTTGTCAAGCATCCAAATTTTAATCCCATGACTGCAGGAGTGCTGCAATGGTAGTGTGTTCAAAGCAGTTGTAATCACTTTTTCCAATGCCATTTTTATTACAAATAGTTGTATGATGAGGGCTACCTGTACTCACTGCCTCTTTTATTAAGCCTTGAATATATTCAGCTATGAACTTAAAGCTTCCTTTGATCTGACCTGCAAATCTTGTATGACAGAAGCTGAGTGCAGAATACCTTCTCTGGTGTTTTGCTTGTAGTACCTTGCGGTGAGAACTGGGGTTTTAATCAACCTGCAGGTGAACACCGCTATTATTTCATGAGTCCTCGAGGATGAAGTTAGGCCTTAGATTAACCAAGGTAAAGAGGATTTGGGTTCCCCCCCCCAAGCCTCGGGAAAGAAAACCTTTCTTGCTGTGTAGACTGAAGAACTTGGGCAACAGCCAGACGTGTTCCTTGCCTCTGAGCACGTACAGAATGACTCTCTTTTCCCACGATTCAATTTTTCCAGGCAGGGGAAAGAGGACGGATTCCGGGTTAAAACGTGGGTCTCCGTTTGGCGAGGCCAACCAATTTGGAAGCCGGGCCAACCCAGCATTGGAAGATTGGCGCGGGGCTCCTCGCCTGCTCCCTCCCTCGCTCGCTCCACCCTCCCTCTCCTTCGCAGCCTCCGCAGGTCCCTCTTAAGAGCGCCTGCGCTGCTGGCCACCCGCCGGCAGGTCGCAGCTGTTGGGGCCGTCCGCCTGTTCGCCAGGGCCATGGCTTCCCCGGCCATCGGGCAGTACCCTTACCTGCTTCTGCTGGATAAGGAACAGCAGCTCTTCCTGCAGAGCTTGAGCGCCAACGAACGGAAGAAGATCCTCAAGCGCTCCGCTTCCAATGACATGAAGCAGCCTCCGCTGCCGCCGCCGCTGCCGCCAAGGCGGAGGCAGCCGCAGGAGCAAGAAGAGCCGCAGCCTCCCCGCGCTGCGGGAGCCATGTCCCAGTGGGGCGCGGACGTGGGTAGCGGGCTTGAGAAGGACGCTCTGCTGGCCTCGAATGCGGGACGCGCCGAGGCTCTGCGAGGGCGCCCTGCGGAGTGCCGGCGGAGGCCCCGCGGGAGCGCAGTGGGAGCCGAGCGTGGGGCGCCCGTCGGGCAAGCGGCTGAGGACGGAGCCGAGGTTGGCGTGGCTCCCACCCTTCCCGGAGAAGAGACTGCGCTCGGGGCTCACTTAATATCCCAGGAGCTGCCCGCTTCCCCCGGCCACGCGGCTAAGCCTTCCCGCTCCGGGCAGCAGCACCATCACCACCACCACCACCGGCTCAGACTGAGGTCCGGAACTCCTCGCCTGCTGCCCGACGTGCGCACCATTTTCGAGCAGCCGCGGGACCCCCGAGTGCGAGAGGAGAAGGGAGAAGGACACCGCTTCGAAGGCTTTACTCTGTGGCGAGGCTGGTGCGACCTGTGCGGGGAGGCTGTGCAGCAGCGGGCACTCCGCTGTGCCAGTAAGTTGCTCTCGTCCCACCCCGCTCCGTCTCACTATAGGGAGCCGCTGCCTGCCTTTTTTTTGCCCGAAACCTCCCGGGCTTGACCATTCTTACCTGGGATTTGGCAGGTGACATATATATTCTACCTGCTGGTCCTGAGCAATATCACTGTAGAGGACCTGATTCATACACACTCCTCCTTGCTCCTTGTTTACTGCATCCCCCGGGGGCGGGTTGCTCTTTCTTCACAGGATAGGAGTAAGTGGCTACTAGTCAGCGTGTTCTCTTTCCCTCCACGGAAGGGCAGCCCTGTCATTCTTCCTGCTTCTCTAACAGAAATCCTCCATCATCTTGTGATAGCTTCCTCTCTAGCCAACTCCAGTTACTGCCTCCAGCACTGTGCGCTGGGAAAGGCTCCTTTTGTCTCAGAGTGGGGTGGTGTGTGTGTGTGTGTGTGTGTCTATTTTATATATAAGTTATCACCCAGGGCAGGGCCTGTGTGACCTTGTTGCATCCAGTCTCCATCTTCATGAAAGCTCTCAAAAAGCTTGATAGAGACTTCCATCATTTTGTGGTACTTGAACTGATTTACTTCAAACCAGAAAGCTTAAAAATTGTGCAAGATGCATTGAAATAGCTTTTGACTTTGAACTGAATCCACATTTGTGTGGCTGTCATCCTGTTTTGATCTCTTTTTCCATTGGGTTTTCTTCCCTTTTGAGGATGTCCTTTAGAAATGCCTGCATGTTGGTCATCATTGGAAGTCAGCTGTCCTGCTGGTGTTGATCTATATTTCTTGTCTGTTCAATTTTATCTCTGTTTACTGTTCAGTCCCATGTTAGGAATAAAGGGTAAAGCCAATGGGTCTAAATTCTTGACAGTCTGTAACTTTCAGATACTCTGCCCAACTTTTCAGGTAAATGACAGTAGTAGTACAATGCAATATTCTTATTTGCAATGGTGGATAATTTCTTTTTTGTTTTCTTTTTATTTTCTATGGAGAATCTTTTGCAATCTCTCCAGTGATGAAACTTGCCATTTTCTCTCTCCTCTTGTGATTTATGTGATTCCAAAGTATATTCTGTTTCCAGTGATGGTTACTACTTATGCCTTTGTTAGCATTTTTTAATACAGTATGGATAATGGGTGTTTTCAATATGTGCATGCCTTGATTTGATCAGTATTTCTATTCTGAACAAATGAGAGCATATGTAGAAAGTAAAATAATGGTATATTCACCACAGATCAAGTGGACTACTGAAAGGACCTGTTTAGGAAACAGGTATTTAATATGGAAAGTGATTAATAGTTGAATCATGTACTGTATATAATTTTGCATCTTTTAGATTGACCTAGGCTTTATAATAATATCTATTTTTTCCTGAATTACTGTAGTAATTTTCTTTCTCTGCAAAGTCCAATTGGTTATCCAAAGGGTCTGCTGGTTCTTGAAACCTAGCAAGGCAATCCTACACAGAGCTATTCAAAGGATATCACTGAATTCACTGGGACTTATGCCTAGGACCATGGAGATAACCTCACACTCTAAGAATATTTAAATTGGCCTTGCTAGCAGATAAGAACAAATACAGTTCTGGCTATGAATACATCATGGATTTCTGTTTTGGATATTTCATGCTTCTGTTCTCTATTCTTCCTAAAAATGCTAAAGGCCAGTTGACTTTTTAATATTTCGGTGGGGTGATTTTATGAGCACCTTTCTAGAGAACTGCATAAACTGTTCACTGAAGGAAAAATGCTCATTTATAATCTGAGAAGTTGGAGTTGACAATATGAACATGTTTTTTTTTTAAATTCTATCAGTTTGCTTCAAGCACATCTCTTTAAGTGGTGCTGTAAGACTTTAATCATTTAATGGGGATAGTGAAATGAGTGTAGCTTTTAATGAAGATGAAAATTTCACCTCAAGATCTGAATGGTACCATGCCATCTTGTTGTTCACAGAGAGATTCTATGAAAAGAGCATAAATATGCATTTTCCTTTTACTCCAGCTTTCTTAGAAACAGTTTTTAAAATTATTTAAAATTTCTAATATATTCTTAAAATTATATTCAGCTTTATTAATATAAAAAAAACACTTTACTGATTTTTTTCTAGCTACCAAGTAATCTGTTATCTCATTAAAAATGGAAAGAGTTGACTTTAGCAGGTAGAGTTTTATGCTGTCCTAAAGTAAAGAATCAACTATTAGTTGCTTGCATGTTTGCTCATCCTAGAACATTTTTGGGGGGGAGGGGGGTTATAGATGCAACTTACATATCTCTATAGCAGTCAGACTCACTTTTGCATATCTGGTATCCAGACTAACTCTCTAAGACTGTAACCCAGTCAAAACATTTACTCTCTCCATTCCCTTTTCTCCCTGGTTTGTAAAGTCACTTTGTTGGTTAAAGAGTGGTGTTGTTGTTTTGGGTTTTTTTTTGAAACTAGAGAGCTGGCATGCTAATTTGTACATTCTTACTTGGCCTAATAATATAGAGCTTGGGTTAAACAACTTGGATTTAATAATCAAGAAAAGATAATCCCACATTTTAATTGCTCTCAGTAGCTCTCTTGTATACTAGGATGCATGGCTGTTCTTTTCATTCTTTGCAGAGGAATCTTGCCACTTTGGATGTTATACAGCATGTGGAACTGCCACAGATTTTCCTTGATATCTTGACAGTATTGCAACTTTCTTTTCAATAGCAGAAAAGTTTTCTTCTGCTAGATCCAAGATTTCCCTTCCTGGATTCTTTTTTGTTCCCTTCATGATTTTAATGGTTTGTTTTCAAGTTCATACTTGATTAAGGGCTAGTTGTTTATTTTTTGGTAAGTATCTGCAGAAGAATGAATGGGATTTAAATTTATTCTTTTGGAGTCTTTTAAAAGGAAAAGGTAAATGGAAGATGAAAGAGTTCCAATGGTTTCTGCAGTCTCATATTAATGCTATAGGATTATGCCCAATCCTTTGATTTGGTTGAAAAGGTATGTCAAATTTGGTCTTTTGTTTTCAGCAAATGAAAGTTTAGATTCCTATGGAGGTTCTTTGTATTACTGTTTCCTTAATCCCTTTGTATGTATGATCTTCTTTTGTTTATAAAGCTTTATGTAACTTTTAATAAAGGCTTATTAAAATGACTTGACAAAGAATGTTTAAGTTAGAGTCAGGTGACAGTTCTCCCATCCTTGTTTTTTCTTTACTGTGGGTAAAGATGGTGAGAGACCTTGCTTGGTCTGCATTTTGAAGGGATCAAACTGATCTAGCCTGTGAATATTTTTTGAGGAAAATGCATATGTAAAAGTTTTGTGCCTCTTTTTTTAAAAAATACAGATGAAACTGGAAATGAGATGATAAGCATTCTGAATGAAACATGCTGATCTGTCAGTTCTAAAGCTTGGCAACTTTAAGATGTGTGGCCTTCAATTCTACTTCTATTCCATGCTGACTGGGAAATTCTGGGATTTGAAGACCATACATCTTAAAGATGCCAAGATTGAGAAATTCAGGACTAAGGACTAATTCTGATGGTCAGTCTCTTACAATACTGTAAGTTTGACCACTGCCTGATTTGGAGGTAATAGATATAGAAGATCTGATTTTCAGTCTGCAGTGAAGTTTATCTCAGTTGAACCTCTTTTTTACTTTTGAATCACTCAGAGCTAGTTCATATTTAACATATGAACATATCCTACTGCAGGTAGTCCTCAACTTATAGCCATTTGTTTAACGACAATTCCAAGTTACAACAGCACAACACAATGTGATTTACAACTGGTTCTTGCACTTATGATTGTTGTCATGATCATGTGATCAGAACTTTGGTGGCTGCAGCATCCTGAGGTCATGTGATTGCCATTTGTGACCTTCCCAGGGGGGCTCAAACAAACAAAGTAAATGATGGAAGCTAGATTCACTTAACAACCGCAGAAAAAAGTTAATAAGATTGGACATGACCCACTTAATGGCTCCATTAAATGAAACTATTCATTTTGATTTGTAAACCATTGGTGACTTATATCCTGTCTTCTTGTTCATAAGGACTAATGACTTAGCATAGTTTGTGAACCTATTTGTATTGCAGCCATGGTTTTAGGGCAATGTGTAAGGGTTCTTCTTTATTATAGTGTAATGAAAGGTAACATAGTTCTTTGACTCTAAAATCAAAATCATTTGATGATTTCTTTAATAGATGCTCTATTTTCATACAAAGAGCTTAAGGCAGATTCCATGTGGCCTTTTATATTTAAGTTGGATATATTTAGGAAGAATGCCTAGATGTCAGGAAATAAAGCATGTGTTTCTAGCCATTTGAGCTAAATTTTGCCTGGTTTCTTTTTAATGGTTCCTTTTTTATTACATAACTTTTATTAAGAATGTTGATTAGTAAAATCTAATACAAACTAAACTTAAGAAAAAATGGAGAGAAATAAAAAGTGCAAGGAAAAAGAAAAAAGTAAAAATATAATAAAAGAGAAAAGAAATATATAAAAAAGTGATTTCAAATTTTCATCATAACAAATATAAAAAATTAGAAATTCTTCACATACTCTAAAGTTACAAATATCTCTTCATCACATATTCCATCTCTTATCTATAAGCAAATTCATAAAACATTTTTTCAATCAACAGGAAGTCCATAAAGGGTAGCCAGAAGTAACAATGTATCTTATTTTAACCTTGATCAAATAAACCAATATTATATTCCTTCCTTTTGCTTCTAACAGTCTTATTTGTTATTCAAATATTGTTTTAGGATTTAATTTCTCTGAATTTCTTCTTTGTCTCATGTCACAGAGTTCTTCAAGGCATTACTACGGCTCTTTTGTAAATCTAGTAGGAAAAAATTATCCAGGTCTCTCTTAATTTGTCATTTGTATTTTTTTAAATTAAAAGTTAACTTCTTTCTTTTGCACTACAACTCCCATCATCTTCAGCCACCACTGCATTGGCTGTGGATGGGGATTTGTTAAGTTAGGTTAGGAAAAAAGTGGATTAAGGTTGTCCCCTTCAGATATGAAGGAGCAGCATGAGTGACCTGCTTGCTTTGTTCACTCTTCAGGTACTTATTTATTTATATTCCACCTTTATTATTGTTCAGAATAACCAAGGTAGCAAACACACCTAATATTTCTTCCTCCTCCTGTTTTCCCCAGTATGACAATTCTACGAGGGGGTTATTGGCCTGAGAGAAAATGACCCAGCTGGCTTTCCTGCCTAAGGTGACACTAGAACTCCCAGTTTTCCAGTTTTCTAGCCTGGTGCTTTATTCACTGGGACTCTATGTTTTATACTACAATATAAGTTTATATGCCATGTAAGTGAACAAGCTATGTTGCTCTTTTTATGTAAAAATGAGAATAATTACCATTTTATATTGCTCAGAGAACATTACAGTAGAGATTTTATATGAACTTTTGATAAATCACAGACAGAGAAAGCTACATTGCTAATTAGATATTTTTCAAAATGATTTTTTTCTTTATAATGTCATCTTTTCCTCATTTTGAAATAACGCCCTGAGGATTTATCTATCATAAAAAGGTACAGATCAACAAAGTGTTTAGGTTAGGCTTTAAAGTGGACCAAATTAATACCACTTCCAAATGAATATTTTTTGAAATCCCAAAATGAAATGCTTGAAATTATTTCTTGTTGGTCTTCCTTTCAGTATTGTGCCACTTCCCTTTCCTATTCTCCTTTCCCAGTTTATGCTGGTGTGGCTTGCTTTCCTTCCCATCAGACCCAGGTGGCTGGCCAGCCAAGTGTAACTGGTGCATTTTGAGAGACTGTAAATGATGATTGTGCTACTTAAGTGTCAGTGGCATGTTGTTTGCAAATGAATTGCAAAGCA